TCCACCCCCCCCCCCTCCCCCCTATGGACGAGGTCAATAAAATTTGAACCCCTAAGAAAAAAAGATCAAAGTGCCGACACAAACACACACCCCCCCTAGAAATTAAGAAGTTTTTGCCTTACCCCTCGAAAAAAATGCAAAGATCAAAGGATGCCGATGCACACAACCCCTCAGAAACGGCTTTTTCAACCCGGGGGGGGGGGGGTGTATATTAAATGGAATGGCCCATATTTAGTTGACATTTGGGCTCAACCTGCACCAAAATGATATATGAAATCAATCTGCACTGAAAACATCCACCAAATGTTATGGTTGTTTCTCTGTGCTGGTATATACCTTGTTATATTCACAGCCTCTTCCAAACACATAGGATGTAATGTTCTCGGGTGAATGATTCCAAACTGCGCAAGCAGGAGATTCTGCCTGCCACGGCTGGGTTGTGAACCTGCAACCTTTGAAAATTATGCTTGCTCGAGCACCTAATGAATTTAAGAACAACAAATTTGTGTAGAGTTTGTCAGTGGTTTACGATAATTGTTTTGATTTCTGTAGCATTATGAACGTGCCGAAGATGCTTCCAAGGCTGTGGAAAAATTGGACGACACTGAATTTATGGGTGTTCACATCCAAGTACAGGTATATAAATAGCCCAATATATCAATCGCAGAATTCTGACTTTTTAATACCACATTTAATCCAGCAGTTAATTTTGCTCTGCTACCATATTTATCATGTATAGCATGCCAAAAGCAAAGGAAAACCCAATGCTGGTGATAACGAATGCTTCGAATGTGGACGAGAAGGCCATTGGTAAGATAAAATCAATTCAACGGGTATTTCCAGGAAATGTCCACACCCCCAACATGGTGAAAATTGTCAGCGACTAGCCTACCCCTGTTCAGACATCCTAGCATATTTTATTATTATTGGAAGTAGATTCCTTTCCATCCATGTAGCAGAAATCTGATTTAGATTTTTGTAATTAAATAGGGCAAGAGATTGTCCTCGGAGAAGGAGATATGACAGGTAATATATGTGAACTTAGGATGTTTGTCAGTATTTACTATGGCTAAAATTGCTTCAAAATTTGCTATCAATGCCATTTTTCAGTTAGTGTTTCCACAATGCAATTTCCTTCAAATTTCTATTTTTGTAATTTGTGATTTTTTGTGAAAGCTACAGACGTCCTCCCCCTCCAAGAAGCAGCTACAGGGAACCGTATCGAGGTATCGACAGTTATCGTCCAGACAGTTACCGTGGACCAGACCGTGGTTACAGAGACAGTTACTATAGCGACAGTTACTATGGAAGTCGTTACTCAGCTCCCCCTCGTTACAGTCCGTACAGTCCATACGGGGGCTATGGTGGACGAAGTATGAGAAGTCGATCACCTCCACCCAGGTATGTAATGCTACTGAATAGACCTTTCCCCTTTTGAGTGAAATTTTGATGTAGACAAGCCTTTCAAAAATTTCATCACAGCTCGAAAGAGCATCACAAAATTAGTAATATTCCGAAGTTTTGTTGCGAAATGTTGCAAAATGCGGATAATATAGCCTTGCAAAGTTTGCCGTTTTTCAGTCATTCTGTATTACAAATGGGAAATTGATAATCAGTTTGATCATCTGATTATCAATTTCCTATTTGTAATAGAAAATGACTGAAAAACAGCAAACTTTGCAAGGCTATATTATCCACATTTTACAACATTTCGCAACGAAACTTCAGAATATTACTAATTTTGTGATGCTCTTTCGAGCTGTGATGAAATTTTTGTCCAGACTTGTCTAGATCAAAATTTCACTGAAAAGGGGAAAGGTCTATTGGGTGATTTCCTTAGAGGAAGTCTTGGTTTGGTAATAGGATTGCCAAGATTAGGAATAGTTCAAGAGTAGGAACAGCATCCTAAGCAGTTCTCAGCACCCAAGTATCGCAGCATGTAATAAGAATATTCTGTTTTGTTTGCAGGTCTTACCACAGTTCTTATGCATATGCACCTAGACGGTAAGCACTTGTTTTGTGGTTGATCATTCAATTGTGGATCACTGGCAAAATAAAGCTTTCAAACACTGTGTACAAATATAATTTTCTAAGTTTAGTGTTTTACATGAATTAGTTTTAAGAGTTTTTAATTCAAGAAATAGAAATGTAATCAACATCGTGCTTTTTGTTTGTCTCATTTTATTTGCTGCTGCACACACACTGTGAAAACCAGATTAACGCTAGGAAAACTAGAAAAATTGTGGAAACAATGTTTCCGGTATGTCCATCTTAAGAAACATGTCTAGTTTGCACACTTTCAGGAAACATGACTACAAAACGATTCTGTCACATGTGTTTCAGCAACAATGTTCCCTGTATAAAGGCTGACCATCAAAGTTTCTGTGATCACAGTAGGAATTTTGCAAAGGTAAATTCTAAGTTTTGAAGGATTTATAAGAAATGTTTGAGGAAATGACTTAGTGTTAAACACCAAATCAGTTCCCTCAAACATTTCTTACAAATCCTTCAAAACTTAGAATTTACCTTTGCAAAATTCCTACTGTGATCACAGAAACTTTGATAGGGTCAACCATCCATAACAATATATGGTACAATCAAATAACGTAATATATTACAAATAACATGGACCTCCTTAAAATAATTTACATACATTACTGATGACAAATAAACACATTTGATAAACATGGAGTTGATCATAGAAAGTCTCGGGAATACTACTAATGTGTCATCGGTGGTAAAGTTTTGCCAGTAGCGGACAAAGTCACATTCTCAAGAGCTCATTGTGGAAAAATTCGGAAGACCGAAGCCGAAGTACAAAAGGCAGCTCGTTGTTCCTCATACGCGATTGGTTAAGGTAACGAATGGTGTTCTCGAAAGGGTTTGCCGTATATTTATCATATTGTTGAATATATATAAAATACTCGGTTGAATCGTTATGTATAAGTTTTATGTAGCTCTGTTCCGTAGCTCGAGCGAAAGGCGGTGGTGATGATCTTGAAGAACCACACTCGAAGAACTACAATCTACACTCGAAGAACCATGAGTCCATGACCGTGCTGAAAGTCATGGTGTGTTGTCCTCGTCGGAAGTTGATCTTTAGTAATCGATATCTGTGTGTCTCGGAGGATATTAGCGTGAGTACCATCGGGGCGGAAGATCGGAAAGTTGTCGCAACTGTACAACATAAAAACAACCCGTACACGTAGACACATTCACAACGTTTTCGCACACATTTCTTAATTTGAACATGTCTCTGTACAAAGTCATTTTAAGAGTGACCGCTCTTTCTGATGTGGACATAAAACGATGCTAGCATGCTCATAAGACTTTCATCATTTTCACTTCATAAAATGCATTGTTTTCATTTATATATTTCTCTTTTTTATAGTTAACGAAACGACTGGCAAGGTTATGCGCACTGTTCTCAGATAAATATGAGAATAACCTAAGCCAGTGGAATGGTTTACATTGGTGAGTATTTCTTGAAAAACCTTTGTATACATTTGAAAGTGAAAAGTGTGGATTGATAGGATGAAGGGCCTTCGCTCAGGTAGTTGAATCCCTCGCAGCTTTCTGGTATTTTGTGACTACCTACCCTGGCACGGACCATTTGAAAGTGAAGACTGAAGTTGACACGATTGTTTTCATTACATTGATAGGTTTGGAAGAATACCTCTGAACCTTTTGTTGTCCTGGACTCGTTGGATAACTCTGCAAATGTCCAAGCAAAAGCTGCCGCTCCACATTCGCAACAGTTCGAGTACGGACGCAATAATATGAACTTTTTAACATTATGTATTGATATTATTTATTAATTTTATTGATGTAAACAATTATTTTTATATAAAAGATTTTTATTATTTCTTGTACATTTGTTGAAATCAATGGACAATGCACTAATGAATATTGAAAAGGATGGGATTGGGGATAAGTGCACCGAGTAGCTTTCCGTAGCGACGTGAAAAACACCTATCTGTACCTTCCAGGAACGCTATTTTCAGAGGAATTATTGCAACGGAGAGATGTTCCTTCGCTCCGCTTCTGAAAGTTATACATTTTGTATCGGAGGTGCTTCTACAGAAAGCTACACGGCATAGCGTAAAGTGCCAAAGTTACAACAATTCCCGAAATTTACACTCACATACCATTCTACACGGACAAACCCGCCTTTTACATTCACCGCACTAAAAGAAACTTCCTACATACTGTAGTTCTCGCGGCTGTTGAGGAAAATGAAAAAAAACCTCTTTGTCTTGACAATGAAATCCGGTATATGCCATCTTAAGCACTCGAATCAGGATATTGATATATTCCTATATGGTAAATGCACCTTTAGTCCTTACGTCATCTCTTGAAATAATAGGCTGCTTGCGTAAATGTTAAATTAATTTAAAACAATGAGTGATGAACCGAGAGATTTTGAAAACAATGGAAAGACAATGAAACGTTCTGATCACTGGATCGTACTATTGTTATGCGTGCTATGCAGAGGATAATATCCTGATAATATATAAATATGCGTGCACTATTCCTTTTAGTTAGAATTTTTCTTCCCACGCATTTGTATCATGCCGATAGGAGGATGATGTTGGCCTCACGCGCCTCGAGAATCTTGGAGCTACTTTTTATAGTGTTGTGTCTTCAATCTTCTTTTGGATAGAAAACCTATACTGTCTGCAATA